CCATTGACAACAACCTGCGCCAACATGTACAGCGTAGCTACTCGACTATTTAGCCATTCAAAAGAAATCGATTGCCTGCTCCTCCAAAGTAGTGTGGATCTTGGGCTTATCACATCGAAGGGAAAAGAAGTACTCCATGTTCTTGGCCTGGAAGCAATATGAATTCTTCCAAATCTTGAGATTCTTGATTGATGCCCCTCCTCCTGCTCAGCTTGCTTTTCTTTTTGCGTCCTGACGAACTTCACGGTGCACACCTCCGAGAGAAAATCCTGGCAGTTGCAGCATAGTGCATATATAAATTTATGTCTATAACCACAGCCAGGCTGACCAGAATTTGTTGAACTTGTTCGGGGCGGGCCCTTCTTTCCGTCCACCCAAATTGCTTTGGTTCCATGGCTTGGTCCGGGTCGGGCTTATCTTCTAACATTGCGCGCCGTTGCACATGTGAAGTGAAGCGCAGGGACGTGAACGCTCACATATATGCGCGCGTGCGCTTGTGCGCCCATGCGCGCATCATAGAGTTTACGCTGTTTACTTTTATTTTGAAATTCAACGCAGTGCAAACGACTCAATTGAAACTTGAAGCATTTGATCCTCATGCAAGTTCAATCCACACATCCAAGTTCAATGCAATGCACGCTGACCAGGTTCATGCTTGAAAGATTTCAAGTACTGAATGCGCCGGTGCCTCGCGATGCCTGAGCAGCTTGATCACCTGAAGGCAGACTGGAGTGGAAGCAGATTCGAGCGACTTCGTGACTCATGGAGTTGGATTCGAACCTAATCATGTCCTAGTCGAAATCGTTTTTCAGTGACACTAGAGCCTGTAGGCAGTCATGACCGGAGTGTGATCACATGTACATCTACAGGTTTGCACTCCAGTCCTTAGACGAATTCAATCAGCGAGCTTAAGCTTGGGAACCCCACGTCGGAACTTGGACCACTGCTGCCACCGACGAGGTGCAGGCATGCTCTCATTCACGCAATCTAAAGAGAACTCAATAATGTTTGTCCAGCTGAAATGCCCAAGTCCAAAGGTGCGTGGTTTCCTGGGAACTGGTTTGCCCATGCTTTGAAGTCAAGTGCCTTTTCCGTTTTGGCCACTAGCTGACTGGGCAGATCTAGAGCTAGTTGGTAAATTGCAGTGGCCTCTACCATATAGATTTAAAATGCGCAGTCAGCGTGAATGTGGCCCTGAAAGCTAGTGGCGTGCAATGGCGGCCTGCGAGTGAACCCTGCACTGCAAAGAAGCTTCGACAATGCGTTGTGCAAAGCTTCTTGAAAATTGAAACGAAGCAAAAGTAAACGAAAACTCAAACTGCACAGAGTTGCATTGCACATCGTTTCGCATACTAGTACTGCTAAAGAGTTTCAATCATACTGCTCACGTATCTTTTAACCCAGATATGTTGCAAATATTTCTCATACATGCACAGTTTGTATTAACAGCAGCTGTCCGTTCAAAAAAGTAGTCTTGTTAATTTTCATCATTTGTGGTGGCAATATTGCGGGCATGTTATATTAAACGAATGCATCGCGCATGCGTTCGGAATTCTTTTTACAAATTTCATTGAAATTTGTTGTTCACAAGTTGGTTGACCGTATTTTGGCGGCCATTGACCGTATTTTGGCGGCCATTGACCGTATTTTGGCGGGGGTTGACCGTATTTTGGCGGGGGTTGACCGTATTTTGGCGGAGCTCCAGTTGGCCGTTGTCATTGGTGGTTTTTCTCCTTGATCCATCCACTTTTGTAAACGCAAAAAAACGGACCAGGGAGGATTCGAGCCTCCATCTCTGCGCTCACCCTGCCAGTCATGCAATTGAATTCTATTCCCTGGCAGAAGCGAGGCAACGCCTTCTCCATTAGGCGACTGGTCCTCTGCGCCTTGAAAATTGCTAGTTGTACACCCTTCCGAGCTTGCCTTCCTTTCCCGCTTATTCCACGCTCCTTCCTCTAAATCGCCCTTTAAATTTCTCCGCGGCAAATCAGAACACAAAAACATATATATATATATTGAAGGCAGCGCCGCCCAAGACGGCGCGCCCGGCGCGCCCGGCGCGCCCGGGCCAAAGCCAAAAGACCAAAGGGGAAGGCCAGGCCAGCGAAAGAAAAGAGTTAAAGGAGAAGCAATCAACCACGGAAGAGCAAGCAAGAAACACCGGCGCACCCGGCGCGCCAAAGCCAAATTTTTAAAGACCAGAGGGGAAGGCCAGGCAAGCAAAAGAAAAGAGTTAAAGGAGAAGCAATCAACCACGGAAGAGCAAGCAACACCGGCGCACACAGCACGCCAAGAAGAGCAAATTGGGCGAGAAAACAAAGAACCAACAAAGGGAAAAGGGAAAGAAATTTCTAGAGGGAAAGGAGGAAAGGCAAAAGGAGAAGGAAAGGGAAAACAAAACAAGACAAAAAGAAGAAGGTAAGAAAAGAAATTGGGCAAGAGATAGAAGGGTGCGCAAACAAGTGATGAAGAGCAAAACCAATGAACGTATATATATATATATATATACGTGGCCGGCCTTTAAATAATGTTAAACACGCGGCAAGGCGCACGCTAGGAAATACACGCGCAGAAAGCCCAGCGATATAGCTATCATGGGGCTAGCTTAAAAAAGCGTACACGCCAAAAAATGGGCAACGACGTTTTTTCGGCAGGCTCGCCCTCAAAAAAGCCGGGGTCGTCCATAAAACGGCGTGGTCGACGTTTTTTCGGCTCACCGACGTTTTTTCGGCAAGTTTTGGCCACCGCACGCGCCACACACAGACAATGGAAGGTCAGGGTGATGTCCGAGAAGGTAAAGGGCAAAGTCCTGATCGGAATGCTGGTGATTCACGTGGACGACATCCTGATCACTGGTGATCCCAACAACGACAAGTACAAGAAGGCGACCCAACACCTCCAGAGTGATTTCGACTTTGGCAAGTGGGAGCGCCTGAGCATTGACCAGCCCCTCAAATACTGTGGTGGACAGATCTACAAGACCAAGTATGGCATCGAGGTCTCCTACCACGACTACATGAGGAAGCTGTGCCCGATCACCGTGAACAGGGGACGAAAGCCTAGTGATGAGATGAGCCCAAGTGAAACAGGAAAATATCGTGCACTCATTGGAGCTCTGCAATGGCCAAGTTCACAGGGAATGCCAATGCTAGCAGCGTCAGTGTCGCTGCAAGCTGGTGCAGTACCGAAGGGAACGGTACTGGACGTCAACGAGCTGAACAAGACCCTGAGGTTTGGCAAGAGCCAAGGAGATGTGACGATCAAGTTCCTGGCGAAGGAGAATGACGAGAACAAGGGCACCATCAACTGCCTGGAGAACATGACCCTGGTCTGCTACGCAGACGCTGGCTTCGGAACCCGAAGAGAAGGATCATCACAAGGAGGCTTCATCATCATGGCCTGCGACAAAGCCGTTCACAATGGCATCAAGGTCCCGGCAAGCACTGTGGCTTGGAGATCCTTCAAGTTGCCCCGTGTATGCAGAAGCAGCTTGGGCGCTGAATGTCAGGCCACAGCCACGGCATTGGAGGAGTTGCTCATGGCCAAGACCTTCCTCGAAGCACTGAAGAAGCCGGACTGCGACCTCAAGGACTTCAAGGACCACTTGACAGGCGTGAGCGCCATGGTGACGGACTGCAAGGCCCTCTACGATGCAGTCTACAGGGAGACCATCCAGCAGGCAACAGACAAAAGAGTTGCCATTGAAGGGCTTGTGATAAAGGAGACATTGAGAGATCTCAATTGCAGCTGGCGATGGGTCTCATCAGAGCGGCAGCTAGCTGATGGATTGACGAAGATCAGTGCCCGACAGGCCTTCACGGAGAGGTACAAGGGACACTACATCCAGCTGGTCGCCGACGAGTCCTACCAAGCAGCAGAGAAGAAGAGTCAAGAGGAGCGCCAAAAGACAGTTCAAGAGACACGAAGGACATCCTCAAGGGTGGCAGAGGCACTCATTGGGATGGTGATGACATCCCAGGTGACCAGTGCTGATGGAAGAGAGGATCAATGCAAGACTGACATTGACCATGTATCCATCAACATCGGCCTCTTTGACCTGGCCATGATCCTGCTGATCATGATGATGATCCTGGCACTCATCCTGATGATTTGGAGATGCAAGCCAAGGAAGACTGCCGAGCCGGCAGATGAGAGTGAAGAAGAACCGGTTCCGGAGTTGGGGCCGATTGATTATGGCGAGGAGGACGACGTGATGGGCAACATTGTGAACGAGCTGGTAGAAGAGAATGAGAGCCTGCAGGCACAAGTGAAAGAATTGGAGAGAAAGATTTCCTACCCGTCAGCGCTTCTACAGAAGCGAGAGAAGAAAGAAACTGGATTGGCGACCTACAGCCACATGCCGGAGGAGGTCTTCACGACCCCGACTGGTGCTTGTGCGCACCTGCGGATCAACTGCGGCCACCTTGGTGTGAGTAAGCGTGCCAAGAGATGGCGAGTGTGCAAGGACTGTGGGAGATGAAATTCTCCAGCCTTGCTTTTCACTTTCTGCCCAATGTGAAGTGTATCCATACACTTGAGGGCATTTGACACGCACATACCTCATCACCCGCAGCGGCGGGCTGCTCGAGCTAAAAGGGCCGATTGGCTGCGCCGCCCTACTCCTCACCTCTCGGTGAGATCGGTCGACGCGATCGTTTAGCCATTTGTGGTTGGGACTTAGCGTGCCTACAACCCTGACTACCTGTTGGCCTGCAAAAGGTATCCGTCCTTGGTTTACAAACTTGTCTACTTGTTCGCACTTGTTCGCTATATATATATATATATCCCTATTACTTTCCTGTTGATACCCGAGGAAGATGGAGAATGTATAGACGGGGTTTGGAATGGGCAATTAGCTAAGCACGTAAAGTCGTAAAAACTAGAACAGGGACGATGTAGACTCAACAAGAACCAGCGAGAAAGCAGTAATCTAGCTCGGGGTCGGTTGTTTCTGGTTTGCTAGAACCCTGTTCCCTATTCAGTGAGCAGCTCATTCCAAGGAATCACCGGTCTCAGTAACCGTTCGAAACGGCTCTGGCGTTGCCTTCTCAGCCACATTCATTGACAGTCTGACGGCAGCCTATGTGACGCTGGGGATTGGTGTCAGATCGGTTGAGTCAGAATCGTGAGACTTAAAAACTTGCAAAACTATATTTATTGAGCATGTTTTTTCGATTGACCTAGTTTGGGCAAACCTTCGGGTTGCGTCGGCTTGGAAGGATGTTAGACTGTTAGATTGTCTTGCCCGAAATATATTTTGGAAGAGCAAAGGGCTTGGCGCTGAAGACACAGCAGGATCAGAATGGAGATAGATCTTCAGGTGAGGCTTTCATGTTTACACGCACTGAGCATTAGCACGTTGCTTCCGTGGCTCAGGATGGGATCAAAGCCAAAGTCAGCTGTCCCAGGACAGAAGCCGGCGAAGCCAAAGCTCCTGGCTTTCCATTCAAATCAACCAGACTATAAAGCTTATTGCGATCCAGCATACTTACAGAATCCCTATTCATACTCAGCTGGAGGGTCCATTTCACAAATGTCTCCATGTTGGCACACTTTCAATGCGATGCCTGCAGCCCTACAACCAGCGCCCAAGAAACCTATGCTGAAAGGTATCACTGAGGAGGCGGGCCCGAGGTTTTGAAACACCAGACAAAACATGACAAAACACATTTGAAGCGCTGTTGTTTTGGGCACGTGGCTGATACGCCGCCCTTGCGCCTGTCACGTACGTCGCGTTTCGGTGGTCGGGGGATCTAACGGGGCGATCTAATGATATGTTTGTGGTGATGTAGCGTTGACAGTTTTCAAAGAAAACTAAGAAGATGAAGACGCGCGCTGGGTCCCAGCAACTTGACAGTTTGTGGAAGAGTTTGAAGAAATGGAAATCACTGGGAACCTGCAGCAGAAAGTGTTGAATGGAGCGAACATGAGGATCTTGAATATTGTCTACTCGTGGCAATGGAGGCATAATGTTTCGATGAACCCCCGAGTTGAAGGATGTGGCGGACCGGTGCTATGGAAGTAAAGACCGATGCTGGCTGGCTGATCGGGTCCTGTGCTTGTGCCCTTGCAGCCCCAATCAACAGATCGTTACAACTTTTTGACACGCACTCCGATCCAAAATGTGAGTTTCGCTGCAGCAAGACGTGCCACGCAAGCATTCTACTTGGGAAAACGCATGAGGCTTGACACATCCAGAAATGCATTTCTAAGAAACATTTACTGTAAGTAAAAATGACAAATACACGGCCCCCCCAAAGAGAACTAACAAAAACAAATATAAACCGCGCATACAGTTGCAGGGCGGCGTATCAGCTGCGAGCCTTTTTTTGAAGGACCTTTGTTGGTCCAGGCCTTCTGGCAAGTGTGGCTCAAGGCTTCAGCCAGAGGGCGGGCATTTCGGCCGACTTGCTGTGTTATAGAGAAATGCGCGACGCGGGGCTTTTTGCGGGCCTCGGCGTAATTTGGAACAGAGGAAGTTCTGTTCCAAAAACAAAGAGTCAATCTCCTGTGACGAGTACGGGGGTTGTTGACATGGCGTATCCATGACATTTGCATCACTTGTTAGTGATTGTGGCCATCGGCACTTGCAAGGTTCACGTTTGGATTCAGTCCTTAGACCATGTCTCTCCTTGGATTCCACTTTTGCAGTTGAGTTGTTTGAGGCTTGGGGCTTTAGACCCTGTGAGTGACTGGCTCGTGATGTGTTGGCTACGGTGCCCGGCTAGGGCCTTCTGTTCCATCCTGTCCTTCCTTTGTTTCCGGCATCGGTGCTTGGAGATTTGCTTGGTTGCTGGTGTCTCTGGATCCTCGGCGTCAGGATTAGGATGCATTTCTCCTTACCTTTGCGCGTGCCTTCTGCAGATGCGCGGAGTGCTTCTCACCTTGCGTAGCCGCCTTCCGCGGGATTTCAAGCGTATCTCACCTTTCCTTGTCGCCACAGCGCCCCAACGTGGAGAAAAAGTGCGGGGGCCATAGACACCAGCGCGAACGCAGCACGTCAACATCGCCCTCCTGACTCCGCCTAAAGGTATTCTGCTGTCAGCGCCCACGCCGTGAGCCCAATAGCGATATCCAGCACCAGCACATATGCAGCGTGTTAGCATCTTCCTGACACTCTCTCCTCCAATGAGTTCTGGCATCACGACTGCCAGCACATTTCCATCATCCTCTCTATAGCTCTCTCCCGCGCTGTATTCTGCCATTCGCGCGCCCATCGTCGGCTGGTCGCCCCACCGATCCTCGGCTGGTCATCCCCACGATCTCCTGTACCGCAAGGCATTCCGATTTCCAACGCATTTCTGCGTATTTCCGCCATCCAAGACGTTCTGCCGCAAGGTATTCTGCGGCGCCGCGCCCCGTATTGCAAGGTATTCAGATTCCACATTTCCACAATCTTCCCGACACGCTCAATCAGGACCCGAGCATCAGAGATGCTTTTGGGAACAGGTGGGTTTTAAGCTATGCTTGCAGAGATCACAGGCCCATGTCAAATGTTTCGGCACACACGGGACGCGTGTGCTGCGGTAGGTGAGGTGCTGTTGAGCGTCTACGTTGCACCCTCCCTGCTCCATGTTGGGGTATTCAACACGATGTTTGAAAAGCGTCCAAAATACCTATGGCAGAAAGGTCTCACTGAGGAAGTTGTCCTGGAGGTTTTGAGACACCAGACACAGCACATTTGAAGCGCTGTTGCTTTGAACGTGCTTTTTGGTCCAGGCCTTTTGGCAATGCAGTTTGCGGAGCAAGAGGCGGAGTTATATGAGCACAATGAACGTCGTTAACAAGGAGAAACTAGCGAATATGATGACAAACACAGATTCCACGTGCCAAGGCTGACGGTTTAGCGATCGAGTTGACGTGAGTTTGAGAGGGGGTACCCCCGGCTTAAAGTTCTGGAGCCAGGAAACTCACCGCACAGTATATCATTACTTTTTGCTTGAAAGTTGATGAAAATTGAACATGAACAATGATTTTAGATGCGATTGCTGTAACATATAAGGCGCGTAAGGGTAATAGATGTCATGATGGCATTTTGTCCATGGAGTCAGTTTGGTTTGAGCAAGTGACAAAATAGGGAGAGAGAGAGAGAGACACAGGAATGGTAGAGCAAAAATACCATATACTTTTCTCTGTATTCAGCTCTGTTAGAATGAGGTTTAGCCCAAAACAGCACACTGTATGTCTAAATTACGCCTAATACATATCTCATATCTCTGCCAGGTTCCTCTTTAGTGATGTTCAATTTGATCGTTGACGGGGGTGTAGGAGACATAGAGAAGACGTGCGCCGCTGCCCTGTTTGGTTGCTTTACAAATGATCTCCGTTCAACCGAGAGGCAGTAATTACCCTTGAGAAACTGTGATTCTGCACAACTGAAACCTATATGTGTGATTCAGAACTGAAACCGTGATACTTCAGAAACCACCAGACTATTGTGCCACAAACCTGCGTCTCAGAATCTGAACTCCAGGAAACCGAAACTGAAGCCCGTCATGAAACAAACTACATTTTGCCGGCATGTTGTCCTACTGTCGCAATAGGATCCACTTGATACGGTGTCGGCAAGAGTCAGGTTGGCAACCAGCACGTGTTCGAATAGGGGAGAGGTGTGGCTAAGGGTAACCTAAGAGCGATGGCCTCCATCATCACTTTCGCAGTGATGATTTCGAAGCACGTGGTGGCTCGTGTTGGCCTTGTGGAGTAGCAGTAGACGTCAGTAGACGTGTAGCTCGCTCAAACTAGCCACAACTAGCCAACTGTAGCACAGCCCGTGTAACTTCCGTTTGTGAAAAGCAAAGTGCTGATGCGAGACTGTTTTAAGGCTTTTGTCTAGAGTCTAGGTATTCAGATTGACCATTTTGGAAATGGCCAACCGTTCTTTCTTTGGACACACACACATACACACAAAGAAAGGAATGCATATAAAAATGGTCCGTTTGTTTTTGTAGTTGCCTTGGTTGGCTGATATTATAGCATGCGGTTTTTCAATTATTAAATTATAGTATACATAGTGTATGTACCTCTTTGGCCATGTCCTTTTGCGCCCAATTGCCTTCATTGGGCCTCCTCAAACAGCCATGACCAAAGCCAGCCAATTTCCGAACCATGCTCGCAAACTTATGATGTTGATATCATCATAAATAGATAGGACCGGGCCTCAAAGGGTGATGCTTGAGCGGTTCGGCGAGAACACAACGACCTTCTCCACGTTGGTTGCTTTTGTAATCACACATGTGGACGGTCGAACCCTCGCAACGTTGCAGCAAGGGTGCGCGCTTTAAGGAAATTGCGTTTTCATTGTGTTTTCTGCTTGTCTCATCAGCTCTAAATGCGTCGACCAACCTCATGTTTGAAGGGAAACCTTTATTTCTCGGGCAATTGAACTCAATGCTGCATCCTGTGACTCGAGGATCAATGAGATCACGTTGGGCCTTGAGCTGGCTGCAGCGATCGTAGGGATGATCCCTTGGGGCAGCTACGCGAACCCCGGTGAGAAGGGCGCAGAAGAGACTCAAGAGCAGGTCCGAAAGAATGCCATTGGAAATATCGAACATGAGGTCGAAGACGAGTTTCAACAGGTGGAACAGCAAGCTGGACAGCAAGTGGAAAAGTCATTTGCCCGAAAGCTTTTAGAAGCTTCTCTGCATTTGATATTTGCTTTCAGGCTAGGCCCTGGCGAAGGCCTGTCGTCGAATTACTTTTGACTGTGATGCAGGTTGCGGCGGGTGCGCTGGTTGTTGCGAGAGTGCTACTGCCAAGGATGGGATCAAGAATTTCTTTGGCACAACCGCGCAAAATATAGGCGCCGGTTTTGCAGAAGCCAGCAACGGGTTCAAAGTTTGCCTATGTTTGCATTAGTGCCGTGGAAAACTAGAAGCAGCAAGAATGTAGCATCCAGTGTCCAATTCAGTTTCACATAGTTTCACCAAGTTTTGCCGTTTGCCCTCTCTCTCTCTCTCTCTCTCTTCCGTTTCCATCTCTTTCTCACGTTCTTCCTCTCCGTTTATCGTCAGTTTTTCTTTGTCGTTTTTCTTTGTTGTTCATCCCCTCTCTCTCTATCTATCTCTCTTTGTCCTTTTGCAGTGTGTCTTCAATAAGCCCGTCAGTCAACTCCATAACTCCGCCAACTTTCTCTCCCAGCCCATCTCTATCCATCTCTTCGCTTTTCTATCTTATATATCTTGTATATATAATTCTATATCTTATATATGTTTATCTTGTGTTTAATGTGTCGTTGTTTTTCGTGTTTGCGTGCGTTGTACCACTCTATCTACCATTATCTACATTACTATAGTATCACACTTACCCTTTACTTTTGCATTGCACCATATTGCAGAGCGGTTGCAATCTGTGTCCTCATATTCGTCCTCGCTCCGATGCTCCGTTACTCCGCTCCGATCCGTCCCGCTACTGCTCCACGAATCGTTCTCGCTCCACCAACAACAACAACAAGAAAAATAACAATTACAATAACAAGCGCAAGATCAACAACAATAACAACAAAAATAACAACAACAATAACAAGCACAAGATCAACAACGAGAACAACAACAACAACAGCAATAACAACCACAAGATCAACAACAAGAACAAGAACAAGAACAACAACAAGAACAATAACAAGCAGAAGATCAAGAACAAGAACAACGACAACAACAAGAACAATTACAAGCACAAGATCAACAACAAGAACAAGGACAAGAAGAACAAGAAGAACAACA